CACCAGGGTAGGTGTCACAGGGTCTGAAAAGAGGCTAAAAGTTTTCGCTCCTTAGCACCCTATGCGGCCTGATTCACCTCGAACCAGTCAGCCTTTCACCGTCCCTCGATCGTTCGCTCGCCCACACAAGTATTAATCGAGGTTATGCAAGCAAGTCACAAACATATACATGCGGAAGCTATCAAGTAAAATAGTGACACGCAGAATTACGGGCTCGCGCCCAACCAATGCACTGTTATAACACTAAGTACAAAAAAAGATCCTACAGCTCGCATATACAGTTCACACCCACACTTTTGTGCACGCAGGCACACATACATGCATACATATACCAGCCTTATAGAAATTGGCTTTACACACACTCGCTATTACACTTGGCGTGTGCCAACTCTCGCATCTATAAGTACACAGTACAAAGTCTCGCTCACAAAGTGTATAACGTGGTCGTTCGCTTGATCACGCTCAAAGTGTTTTTTTCTTCCCGCACAAATGCTTGCCTTGGCCTATTTATAGGCCTCGGACCCCAGCAGTCCCAACCGCTTGGTAACCGCTTGGCAGTTATCCGCAACTGCTCCCTAGCACGTGCACGCATCCACTTGATGCCAACTCAGCTTCATGCAACAACGGGTGCCAACCGTCGTGCTTTATCCTTGCCCAACTCCCTCGTAGGTTAGAAAACCGTTAAGGCCACGTGTCTCTGGAAACCGCTCAGCCACGTGTCTTGCTTTCCTTGTTCCCACTCGGCCATGCAACTACTCGAAGGAATGATCCGCTTAGGTCACGTGGGACATAGTAACCAACTAGTCCACGTGCAACCCAACTGCCAATTCAAAATCCAACCGTTCCCGCCAACGGTTTAGACGCGGCGCCACCCTCGCACGCGCCCATCGAGCTGCATCATCGAAGCACTCGCGTGCCCGAATACGCCTAACTCCAACCATGTATTTGATTGATTAGCCAACACCTTCGTCCGAGTTAAACCAACGTAAGCGCAAGGCCATGCACAACACGCAGCAACCCTTGTCCGACCAAGCCCTCGACTTAACCAACAAACATGATCCGACCAACACTTGGACAATTTCAGCTAAGTAATGCACATATGTCTTCGTCGCCCCACGAAGACCCGACTGATCCCGACCTTCAGCCACAAGGACGCGCCCAGCTCGTATCCTTCCCTTAGTCGAACCCTCGCACCTTTGTGCTCGGGTCTCTCGGACCATGACACTCTAAGGGATCATGCCATGTCCCGGGCCCTAAAGTTAGGCCCATAACAGACACTCTAAGGGATCTCGCATAGCCGATACCCGCATGGCTCCTTTCTTTTTCGGCACCGCCCACTGAATTTCATGGAATACTTCTTTCCATCCAACACAAAGACCATTTTACTCAAGTAGGGCTTCACAAAGGCCTTTGCCTCTTTGAGATAATCCATACCTAAAATCAACTCAAAATCATCAAGAGGCAACACATACACCTTGCACGTACCTTTCCACGGCCCAATGACCATGTCCACTTTAGCCACCCCCTTGATTGGTACTGTGTGCGTGACAGTTTTCATCATCAACCCGTCACTTGGCTCAAGTTTTAGGCCTAGCCGCGAGGCCAATGTCTCATTCATGAAGGAATGCGATGCACCCGAGTCCACCATTGCCATGATTTGCTTATCCTTCACAACAGCCTTCACGAACATTAAACCCGAACATGATTCGTCTTGGACGCTTACGTTGTTCAATAGCACCAACGAGTTCAGGCCAATCGTGCCTTCTTCGTCGCATGCATCGCCTTTCACCACTAAGGCGTTGGCTTTGGCCTTGAATCGCCTAGGACAATCCTTCATTAAGTGGTCGCCATCACACAAGAAATAGCTATGACTTCGGTCCACCATCGTTTGTTTTGACGTATCACGGGGCGTACCGGTACTCCCCTCGCCAGACTTCTCTCGGTGCTTTCTACCTTTGAACTTCTTTGACTTCCCATCCTTCTTCGTCGAGTCTCTCACATGTTCACTCGAGTCAGAGGCACCAATTATATTGAAATCAACAAGGCGCTCAGCGGCAGCCATTGCCGTAGGCAGATCACTAACCCTTTGCCGCTGCAACTCGGCTTGGGCCGATCCTTGTAATCCTGCCATAAAATTGAACAACTTGTCCCGCTCCGACATCTCGCTTATGTCCAGCATCAAGGAGCTGAAATCCTTGACATATTCACGAACCGCACCATCTTGCTTCAGGTTTCTTAGAGCTTTCCTCGCAACCCAATCTGTGTTGCAAGGCATGAACTGATCCCTCAACTCCCTCTTCATAACATCCCACGTCTTGATCCCTTCCCGATTTGCACTCACGTAATCAGACGCTCGCGCACGCCACCAGAGTTTCGCGTCCCCCGACAAGAACATACTCGCAATTGACACTTTCTCGTCGTCCTGGACTCTAGCTGCATGAAAATATGCCTCCATGTCCCAAAGGAAATTTTCGACTTCCTTGGCATCTCGGGTACCATCAAACGTCTTAGGATCTGGAATTCGGACTTTCGATGGGACTTGGCGCTGTTCCGCGAGCACACTCGCGCCCACCCTCTTCAGTGGGGCCACATCATCCTGGATCTTCTTGACCTAGGACTCAACCGCTTCCGACAGCAGCATGAATTCATCTCGTGTGGAATCCAACCGCCCTTCAATGAATTCAGGCAGCGACTCCACTGAGTTCGTCATCGCGTCCACCTTCTTTCTTAAGTCAGCGAGCGCATCGTCAGTTGTTTGTAAGCACTCGGAGACCGCTGCATACAAAGGTGTTTGAGGCGGTTGCCCCATCATATCCTCCAGCCTTTGTATCCGTGCTGCAAACGTCATCAAAAGCTGCTCTGGATGATTAGGATCGCCCATTGTTTCCCGACCTACAACCCTCAGAACCCAAAAATGGGCTCTGATACCACTTGTCACAGGGTCTAAAAAGAGGCTAAAATTTTTCACTCCTTAGCACCCTATGCGGTCTGATTCCCCTCGAACCAGTCAGCCTTTCACCGTCCCTCGATCGTTCGCTCGCCCACACAAGTATTAATCGAGGTTGTGCAAGCAAGTCACAAACATACACATGCGGAAGCTATCAGGTAAAATAGTGACACGCACAATTACAGGCTCGCGCCCAACCAATGCACTTTTATAACACTAAGTACAAAGGAAGATCCTACAGCTCGCATACACGGTTCACACCCACACTTTTGTGCACGCAGGCACACATACATGCATAGATATACCAGCCTTACAGAAATTGGCTTTACACACACTCGCTATTACACTTGGCGTGTGCCAACTCCCGCATCTATAAGTTCACAGTACAAAGTCTCGCTCACAAAGTGTATAACGTGGTCGTTCGCTTGATCACGCTCAAAGTGTTTTTTTCTTCCCGCGCAAATGCTTGCCTCGGCCTATTTATAGGCCTCGGACCCCAGCAGTCCCAACCGCTTGGTAACTGCTTGGCAGTTATCCGCAACTGCTCCCTAGCACGTGCACGCATCCACTTGATGCCAACTCAGCTTCATGCAACAACGGGCGCCAACCGTCGTGCTTTATTCTTGCCCAACTCCCTCGCAGG